AAAAAAACAGAATTGGAAATCAAGGACTACAGAATCTTCAATGGCTAAACCTAGAGAGGGGAAAGGGGCATAAAAATGCCTACTTGCTTTTTGTAAGAGGAGTAGCTGTCAAGGATTTCCACGCAGGCTGGGACGGATCTCTGGCTAAAGAATCTGGACTCCTCAGAGGGAAAAGACCGAATCGCCCTTATATCAGCCTTATATACCCTTAAGTGCAGCACATGCAGTTTATATAATCTTATGTGGCATATGTGGCACATCCTGGAAATAATAATAAAATAATAAAATGTTCCGGCTGTTTCCTATCAGGCACAGGATCCAATCAAAGTCCAGGTTTCCTACTGGTAGCAGAGGAAAAAACACCTGCTTTACAGGAAAAAGAAAATAGCGTTGGGTGGCCCTCCCTTTCATTTTTTGCATGTACATGTAGTCCTCAACTTAAAACCATTCATCTGGTGGCCCTTCGAACTTTTATCTTAACTGCAAAAAATGACTTATGACCAGTCCTCACACTTACAACCATCTCAGCATCCCCACAGTCACATCAGCCAAATCCGGGCACCTGGCGATGGGCATATATATTCATGATGCATAAAGCAGTTCCATTGAGGACTACACATTGGGGGTGGTTGGTCAGCCAGGTATGAATCCACCTGGTGATGATGCTGTCTAACCTACATTTTTCTACTTTATCTAGTAGTAGGTTAGGTTCTACTTTATCAAATGCCTTACTGAAGTCCAAGTGAATTCAATTAGAGGAGGTTTCAGCTGTGGCAGGTCTGAGAGGTACTTCTTGCAAATAATAAACTTTCCTGCTATCTCCTATCACATACAGTCCTGCCTAATCAAAGTCCAGGTTTCCAACAGGCACCAGTACTAAAAACACCTGCTTTACAAGAAACAGAAAGGAGCTTTGGACAGACTTCAGTTTTGCTTTCCTGCAAATAGCGGACACTGCGGAGTAAATGTGTTTCTCAAATTCGGCAACTTTTCAAATGGGTGGTCTTCAATTCCCAGAATTCCCCAGGTAGGCAGAATACATAAAAACATACATGGTTCTCAAATTGAGTTTTTTTGCAGGAGGCCCACCTGTGTCTCTTATGCGATCCTCCCAATAATTTCTGATTCCCTCCAGGGTTTTTTCCTTGTTGAAATATATTACCCACTTTTCACTTTCTATACTGATATCTATCCTGCTATATATATAGTAAAACTTCTTATTCATTCTTTGTATTTCCTTTGACAGCAAAACAGCATTTTCAGTGAAGCGATCAGAGATAACAATAATAAAGACATCATATATTTCAAACTTGACTTGCTTCAGATATTCTTCTGCCTTAAATTCAGGGGTTTCGATTCCTGGAAGGTCCCATACTTTTATATTGGGGAAAGATGGGTGAGGATATGCCTTGGACACTTTACAATTCCCGGCTGCCTCATCCTCATCATCATTTACATCCC